TATGCACAGTAAATAAATTGATGGTTGTCGAATGCCTGCAACAAACAATGGGTTAGTAACAAGAGAAAGGACGAGTATGAGACGCGCGCCCACCCTCCGCGACGGCTCACGAGAAAGTGAGGAAGCTAACGCTGTTATGTATTGGGCGTACGCAGGTTTGTTCCCGTTGAATTGTTTTTGCCGGCTTGAACGACCCAAACACCAGATGGTACGGCCAGGTACGCAACGTCACTAGCGCGTTGGACCGACGGAGAGCACCGATACCGCGGCACGCTCTACCGTACTCTCTCGCTCGCACACCCATAGACCACCAAAATTCTTCGGCACGCGTCAACACCGACGAAAAGCATCGAACCGCGGCTCGCTTTATCGCTCTCGCTCGCATGCCGTGACGTCACCCAATTCCCGAATCCCGCGGCTACGAGATGGCTCATTACAGTAAGGCATTCCCGCAAGGGAAATTGTAAACCGCCGGCCAAAAGGTAGATTTGATAAACTATTTATGAAACTACATTTATTCTGAATCTATCTGTTACAAATATACAAATGTAAGGCAAGATATAAAAACGAATAAAACAAGATCATGTAAAAAGTAACATTAATAAAATGTTCATTAACGATGCATTTAGAATAAATGTAGTTAAGTGAAAAAATATATACTTTTACGTTTCATGTTTCATGACTGTCATATTTATCCCTTAGCCTTAAACTGAAGCACCGGATATTTTTATTCCCGTCAAATCATATAGATACACGCAATATGAATGGAATATATAACATTTCATTTGTGCTAATAATACTCAGAATTCATGCTTTATCGATAACGTTAGGTATTGTTACTAAAATGGTAACAGGGTTACGTAGCCCTATGAACGTGGGACAGAAAAAAGCATTGGATGATAGATGTATTCTATACCTAGTCGGTGGTTATATCCTATATAGTGAAGGAATAATTAGAAACAATGAAGAATAATTAATAACTTAATTATTATAAATTATAATCTACGTGTTACCTAGCAAATCATTCTTTTAGAATTTTTTGTTTTTTTTTCTACTGATTTTTACAAACACAAATAGTAATGTAATTCATCGTAAAATCATATTGAATATATTTTTCTGTTTAAAGATCAAGGACTTACGATCGCAGTGAGCAAATTCACTCTAGATAAAAAAATCGCAATCACGGTCGTGAATGAAGTTAAATCACGACCGTGATCGTTATTCGGCGATCACTGTGATAAATCACCGTTAGTGATTTTGTACGCCATCTCTATTTGTGTTACATTCTTGTTAATTTCCAATCTTACCAATCATTTCGAGTTGTAACTTTATTATAATTACACCACGGAAACACTGCAAATTTGCAACTGTGTTAAAACGTGGAAATTGTATGTTCACATTGATAAAGTCTTGGATATTGAAGAAAATGAAACTCAGATTACATACCCCGTCTTTTCAGGAATTTTGTTCGAGCGTTATGTAAAAGAGTTTCGATTATAATATGTGTAATATCTTATTTCCTAATTTACGACTGAGAATGATTAAAGTTGTTCAAATGATTAAAGCCTCGTTTTCCTTTTAAATCAAGTTTGTAATACTAACTGAAATTTATATTCTATTTTATGTAATAAATCATTTTTAGTTGTGAATAACTTTTACCACAGGTCGTGAAAATTGATGTCTTCAGAGTGACTGTATGATCTATTTTTGATACACTACTAAATAATTGCAGATACTTTAAACCAAAATAAATCTCGAAAAGAAGGTACAAATTATTTCACTCAATCCATCATGTTCATTGTAAATCAGTGCCTTTGACATTCAAGGATATTCTATTTTTACGTAGGAATAGGAGCTATATGATGAATCATAGGTTTTTCAACAATAATTTATCATAAACGCCACTTTATTTGTCTATGTACAGAAGATTTTATTTTAATGTTTCTAATTAACGATTTAGTAGGACTTAGTGGACTGAACTTATATACATTTTACCGTCGATGAACGCTCTCACCATATTACCCTGACTCAAATGATACGAGGAAATCGTGCACTGAAACGGCCGCTTCCAGTGCACAGAGGATCGCATTAGAAAATATAAAAGAAAAAAAGTCTCTTACACTCACATTGTTCGGCACACGTATTCGGATATCTTGCACTTAACCGTACTGTCGCGTAGTTACAAAATAGTTTGTATAGATATCAAATACAAGAACACTTGGTACTTTCTTCAAACCAAAACAATCAGCGAAGATCAGAGGGTGTAATCGTTCAATATGAATATTTCTGTCAATATTGACTTTCCGATGATCCCATGAAGTTACAGGAATCTTTAGAGACTAGAGAAACCAAAAAAGATATATAGTAAACTGCTCGTTGAAAATTGTTGTAATTTACAAATTTACATGTAAAAAGTTTGTAAAAGTTTATTGATTATTGACACAGAAGGTAACAAACAATAACGAATAGCATATGCCTTAAATCGTGTGAAGACGATTCTTCGATGTTTCGTTAAGCAAAAATTGGAACTATGATTTTTTGTGAATTGGTAGAAGTATATTTTTTTCCAATTTTTGCTTATATATATTATTGACATTTACTTCTTTTTTTTAATAAGACAATATTTAACATTTCAACGAGTTCAATACATGAAAGTCCAAATACAAAGACATACGAGCTTTTTACAAACCAAAAAATAATTTTTAATACACAAACTGTGTCCAAACAATAGTGAGTGAAAAGTACATCACTTTGTAAAATACAACATAAATGAAATTATATTTCTATCGTATCCTACCAAATTTTATAGAACCGAGAATGAATTAGCTCGTAGGTCTGCGTTCACAAAGAATCGGAATTAACGATCATCTTCCATTAGACCTTCTCTAATGTTTTCCAACGAAATCTGTTTTTAACCTAGACCATCCCTTCCATCGTCGCTTCGACAAAACAAGAAAGAAAGATTTGGGACCAGACGGTCCTTCGATGCAACAGTTAACATTTAACCCTTTATTTGGTAAACTATGGGGATAAGATGAACATGGCTTTTAGGCACAGTCTGTGCACAAAAGCGTAGACGAGTTTCTATTCGATATAAATGTTATTAAATAACATCACATGCGAAGGAACCATCACGTTCTAAAACGCCAAACCAGTATATATGTCTTGTAGTTCACGCTCGCACCAAGTAACAGAAAATTTTGCGTTCAGAAAAACATAAGATATTCGGTAAAAACATTTTGTACGAGGCTTCAATGTAGAAAAAGGTTCGAATTTTAATTAAAACGTTCTTTTACTTAACGACGTATTCGGATACAAAAAAGATGGCACATACATATATGCATATATTAGCTTACAGTTAACAGAGTTTTGCCTAACAGTGTTTCGATTATTTAGAAATTTGCATAATTTTACATTGAAGCTGAAATTACTAGATACCAAGCAATTGAGACATACAGACATTACGATAAATGCCAAAAATATATGTATTTATGGCATACGAAGGAAAAAAATGCTATCAAAATGTGTACACGTAGAATCAGAGAAATGACCTTAATACCATAACCTTGATAATCACTGTATGATTAGTTGTCGACATTCTGTATTCTACTAAATAGACTGCGGATGATTAAACAAATTTACATTTTCATAAACTTATTTTCAAAAACAGGAACTGAAAAGATATTTAAAAGATCTCATTTTATTCTACTTTATATTATTCATATATGCTGTAAATGTCCAAACATTCGCAGACTACTAATGATCATTCTCATTTCCACGTTCATCCATTATACATGTATTGATAACTGCTTTGCTCGTACAGCAGAACCTAGCCTACGATGAAATTAATCGGTATTTATGGTCCTTCCTTAACTCTGCTACGATCTTCGAGTCCTACCATCGATCCAATCACGTTTTCGTTTTTTTAACGCTGTTTACACACTTTTTCGTTGCAATTTTATTCTCGTGTTTTCAGAAATGTTCTTAGGTTTGCGAAACGTGTTAGGAAATTGTAACTCATCTGCTTGTGTTTCCTTTCGCCGTTGTTATAGCGAATGTGTAACTGGACCGAGGATCGTTGCAGCGTTAACCTGATCTTATAAACATAAATCAGAGTGAATGGCCAATATAACTTTAACTTGCCAACTCAAACAACAACGGACTTTACCAACGCCTCGTACAAAAGTCTTTTTGACCAAGTAATAGTTTCTATTTCGATCGTACCACACATTAAAACAGATACCTTGTACAGGTATACGCTCTAGAACCTATACAGTGAGGTCGTAAATAAGAGCCTTAAGATGGTTCGTACCTGACTCTCTAGTGAATAAAGCATCATACTAATAATTGGTATTAAACACCCGCTAATACATTTTAATAATATATAACAATTATATCTATGAAATTCAACGACATTTCCATTGATCATTCATCATTATATTGTAAATAAAAAATATAGTTTGGTTAGTCGTACGACTCTACTGTGCTCGTTTTTGGTACGTTTCAGTTTTAAAGTTAATTATATTCTCGTGCATTATAATTTAGAAAATTAGAATTCACTAAAACACATAATAAGTACAATATTTATTAAATGTATTTGTATTTCGCGGGTATGACCCTACTTCATCAACGTTGCCAAGTCCTCCACATAGTCCCAATAACCATCCAATAACCTACATATCCTGGACTTTATTGTCAAATATCTTCCTGGAATGTTCGGCATGGTACAAGATTTAGTTTATTATCAGAAACCTCAAGATTTATACTTTCAGTGCCTAGTTTTTAGTTAGCAGTTCTAATTTCTGTGAATAGAAAAGATTATACTTCCGGTAAGAAATCGTAAGACTGCCATAAGAGCTGTGTTGAAAACCCAATTTTTGACAAACATTTTCTTATTTATTTGATCGGCGTCCGAGTTTCAAACTATTTTTGTGTGTGTATTTCGTTCTAATAAACAATTTGTGTGAATTTTATTTAATTATCTAGTCGTTCGAATTTGGCACGAACCACCTTAAGTGGGGACACCGATAGATGTAGCCACACCCAGGGCCGTACGCGTCTTATACAAGTAGTGCCCTGAATGTCAGGCTGCAAAAGTCATTTGTGAATTGATATTTAAAATTTCTGCCAACAGGCCTTTTATTAACCCTCGGAAGACGGACTTTTTTGATGATCGAATAGATGGTGGTACCTACGTCCAGATTGATCCCTACTCATCTAGTCTTTAGATGTGTTTTGAAACGAATTTCTTTAATACAATCTGGTCTTTTTATAAAATACTGATGCAAACAACTGTACGCTTTAGTTACTGTTTCTGTAAGCAGTAATGGTGCGTGAAGTTTCCGAAATCTTGGGACAGAATGTACCCAAACACCGTCATCGGAGGGTTAAGACTGTACGATATTAAGTCTCCATCGTCTCTTGCTCAATAACAATTGAGGGATCCACTGCAAGTGAAAGCTATGCCACAGAACACGTTGAAACATGAGATTTTTATTAATTTTGGCACTTCTTGGTGTCTAGTTATTATCCCTTAATTTATAACTACGTGACAAAATTCCTGCCTGTGCTACGAAGTACACTAACTTTTCATAAAAGCCTTAACAATTTCTCACAATGCTATTGTTGTGACATTGCGCCATCTTGCATTGGACCCTTCAACTACCGTACTGGGAAAGATTAGCCTGCAGTCGGTTAAGAATTAGAACTCATCCTTTTTCCACGTCTTCTACTAATTATTGTATCGGCGCCCGAAACTGTGTAAAATTTTGACTCCCACCACAGACGAGATATAAGAATAGGCCTAACATGCAATGTAATTTTCTGTCTTATGCTTCGGGGGCGTCAGAAGCCCCCGTACCATTTCAGTAATCCATTTCTTGCTAGCAAAAGCAGGGTAATAATATATGTATCGCTATATGCAGCCACGGGTGTGTGTGTGTGTGTGTGTGTGTGTGTGTGTGTGTGTGTGTGTGTGCAGTGCGTTATCACGGTGTCGATCGTAGTCCCTGAAATAGAAAACTTTTATGTAGATGTGCGTTCGAACCAGTGTGATTTTCGTGGGACATCAAGTCCCGTAAGATGTTAGGTCTATTCTTATATATCGTTTGTGTTCCCATCAATTTTACGACCTCGCTGTACAGGTGTTCCAGGTTACACGAACGTATTTTTTCCTGGTACTCGGGCATCGTCGGCGACAGGGAAAAGAAAAAAGCCATGTCCCCCCTAAATCCAGACATCGGTTCCTAATGTCCGTGTCGGCCAAACAGAGGATTAAGACGACAAGCTGGCTTCAGCGTGCGCGGAATATAACGTTCTTCACCCGGAAGAATCAGTCTTGAGGATTGTTAGGTAGCTCTGGTACGACTTGATCCTGACAGGAGGATCTGCTGTTGGACGACGGTGTCGTGCAGACTCGTAACGGTTTCGAGAGCCACGGGTGTCTGGGCACGTCCTCGGCGTACGGTCTCTCGGCGGGCTCTTTTCGCAGCAGCGAGCGGATCAGGCATCGTGCCCGCGGGCTAAGACACTCTGGGACTGCGAATTGGCCGCGGGAGATTTTCGCGAACAGGGACGCGTGCTCGGCGTCGTTGAACGGATAACGACCGACCAGCATCGTGTAGAGAAGAACACCGAGGGACCAGATGTCGGCGGCTTTGCCGGAATAGGCCCGGCCCGAGCGTAACACTTCTGGCGCCACGTATGCAGGACAGCCACGTCGGTCGGTCAGTTTGTCATCCCCGTCCTCGACGATCACGGCGTCCTCGAGACTCTCCAGACGAAGCCGTGTCCTGGAAACGAATAACATCGATACGTTAGGAAGGTTGAATTTTTTTAGATTCCAAGGCTTCTGTGACCCAGTCGAGAACCGACACTCGAGAGAAAAAGTCGAAAGTATGGAATATAGGGTCATTCCACCCGGAATCGGACACTTTTTGGAGTAACATTTCGAATTCTGATGAAATTTGGATATGTTGTTGGTTTTCGTGATACATACATGTGGCTCGAAGGATTTTGGAAAATTTTAACAGTTGTTGGTTTTACAGCTGCTTGAAATATAGCGTCAACCTTATTTTTTTATCAATGAATCGTAACTGTTGAAGTAACGAATTGATCGAAATGAACTTTGTGGGCGCTTACATGGCTAAAAAAACATTTTTTAACCATTGATTTTGTAATTGTTTTAAAGAAATGCAATTTTATAATAGCGGGGTACTAGTGAAAAATTTGGAAAGAAATGAGGTATAGATATAAAATATAGTCCTATTTGTCCTCTTTATGGACAATTTTTTAGAATCTGGACCCTTTAAAAGTGGCCGTGTGAAAATTAGTTAACGCTGTGTCGATGCAGCGTTAACTTCAATTAATTCTCATATGGCCCATTTCGAAGTGTCCATATTTTAAAGTATAAGTAGGAGTATACCCATATTTTTTTTTCAAATTTTCAACAGTGCCCTCCCTATTATAAAATTGCATTCCTTTAAAACAATTGCAAAATAAATGGTTGAAAAATATTTTTAATTGAAATAATTTTTAGTATGTATGCACCTTTATGTCTTCACTGTACGCACCCACTAAGTTCATTTTGATCAATTTGTTAATTCAACAGTTATGATTTATTGTAAAAGGTTAACACTATATTTCAAACAGCTGCGAAATCATCAATTTTTAAAGTTTTTTAAAACCCTCCGAGCACGTTTATATACCAGTAAAGACTACAACATATCAAAGTTTCAACAAAATTCGAAATGTTAATTCAAAAAGTGTCCGATTTCACGTTTAATGACCCTATATAATTTATTCGTGTAAGTCTCTCAATTTTTCGAGTAAAATCTCTTTTACGTATATATGTTCATGCTTACAATAAATAAAGTAGATCTCTGGATAGACTCCCCGACAAGCGGGTCCTATTGATATCATAGGACGCAGGGCGGTACATATTATTTCGTTTCACCCCCTGAAGAAGATAATGCCGGTATAATGACAACACTAATTTAGTTAACTTCACTAGCATTTGTAAGATCATTCACACCCGATGTTTAGGTCACTCCTTCTATTCCTCAACATTCTTGCTCGTATTTTCAACAGTTAATGACTCAAAAACGAAACGTCGAACGCAATTTCATCGTTCTTGATTTTCGTTTCGGTTTTCCGTATAGAATTTGTTATCCTGTATCCACACATTTTTATTAACCCTTTATAGCCCTGTGTGACTTAGAAGTCGCATATCGATATATCGATACTTTTTTTTATCTAATTCAATTTTATAGCGTATACATTGTGTTCTACAACCTCTATTTGGTAACCTATAAGATTCTTTGCAGCGAATATCAACTCCAGCTCAAGATATCGGAGTAATAATAAACTCTTTGAAAATTGTAAATTTCTATTAATTGATATTTCTTGGTTTGAGGTTACATAAATTTTTCTATAGTATACTCCTTCTCTTTTATAATATACTCTTATATTCTCCACCAATCAGACACGATCACGAAAAATCACCGTGATTAGGAACGAACGTGATCGAATCACTCATGATTCAGGAGTAACAGTTCACACCACCTCTAGTGAACATATCAGCGAAACGATTTCTGACCTGACCATTGAACTCTATATCTGGAACGATAACTGTAAGTATTGGAGACGACGCCGCCCTGTTAGACAGACAACACTGTGTGAGAGGTATCCCTATTTCATTCTTACACACATCATTTCTGAACGTACAGTCGCATCTGTGTATATCTGCCTATACCCAAATTTAGGGAATGGGGGAAGGATATTATACCCAAATTTGGGGAATGGAGAAAGGATATTATACCCAAATTTGGGGAATGGAGAAAGGATATTATACCCAAATTTGGGGAATGGAGAAAGGATATCATACCCAAATTTGGGGAGTGAAAGGAGAGGTACTGATATATACCTTCAAAACAACTATCTCCCTCAGGCCCGGCTTATCTAGGGTTTTCCGTACTCTGTTATCGTTCTAGGCATATAGAGTTCAATGGACCTGACCCGTTCATGCGAATCGCCACGGAAAAAATGGAAGACGTCAAAGAGACCGTACAACCTTTTACGCGTGTACGCCCAAAGGAGAGGTATTTTAATGTAGCAAGAGGACACGGGGATTGAGCCATCGCGCTTCGCGTAACCGTCGACGAGGCATGCCTCTCTGGCGGTGTATATATATATATATGTGTGTGTGTGTGTACCCGTGGAACACAGGGGGCACGACGAAAGGACTGGGTGAAAGAAAGGAGAGTGCCGGCCGGCAGTTGATCAACCTGCAACGCGGAAGTCGCGGAACGCATGTACGTAATATTCCCGTGTCTCTTGGGTAACCCCCTCACCAAAGCTTTCCACGATGCTTCTTCTCACACTGGTTACGATACCCGATCGATACGCAACGGGTAGCGTTGTCTTCTTGCTCAAGCGTCCCAGACTAACCTCCCTCGCCCCCCTCAGGTCGATGAATAAGGAACGAGAAATGAGTGAATCGACCGATATATGGTGGCGTACGGCGAAGTTCTGAATGCTTCTTAGGTTTCTTCAGACCATACATTTCACTTTTCTTCCCCTAACCCTCAGAGGACGGGGTTTTTTAACGTCCCTACAGACAGAGGTGCCTGGACCCGTTTGGACTGTTTGGACCCTTATGCCTTCTTCTTTGTAAAAGTATTTTCGATGATAATTATTCAAAATCTGTTTTGTTGTAAATAGTTCCCAGCCTAAATTCGATTTATGAGTTGATGATTGCGATGGAGCTTTTAAAAAGTTGGATCTAAACGGACCCAGGCAATGGCGTCCTATTGTGAAGTCATGCGATTTTCTTTGGTCGTGTGTAGTTCAAGAATTCTTGTTGTTAATAGAGGTTATTAACGGTAGGAATCGGTGGTGTTGCATTTTTTAATCTTTTTTTTTTTTTGTATAAGATCGTGCTGCTTTCATGTTAGACGGTCCTTTAGTTTTGTTAGCACAGGGTTGAAACTGTAAAAATTAATTTCAAACTGTCGTCGAAAAGAATTGTGACAATTGAGACGGTATATGTCATCCTTCATTATTTTTTTTTATTACAGTAACCCGTTGTCGTTCGAACGAAGCTGTCAGTTGCGAGACGAGGGAACTTTGAAATCGAATTATTGCCAACAGTAACGTTCTTAGAATACATTTAATACAGACCCGGCGGGAATGCGCGTACGTAATATTCTCGAGTCTTGAGCAACTTTAAGCTCTCCACGATCCTCGTTCTCATATCGTCCGAGACACACTCGGTCGATATGTAATGGCGAAATCGTTAGGGAAGCGCACATGCGTCGAGAGAAGAAAATATATAATTGGTGCCACGGGGCACCCCGTTTCATCACGCAGACACACCAAAAAGGCAAAAACAAATTGTATATCCAAATAGGCCGACGACTAGTATATGTAAAGCGGCAATTAATCTTTTCTTTAAGTGCGACAATTAACATACAGTTTAAATAACTTATAAATAAATCAACTGATTACTGTGCAATTAAAAAAAACAAATTGCAATTCGTACATCCCTATTTCGTGTTGTGTGATCATCGGTTGAACTTCCGAGCAGCTCGTTAACACGTCAGAAACTATGGAAAGTGGCCCAAGTCAGAAATCTTTAAAACTGGAAATTCTCGCTTCATTTCGTGTCACCGAACTATTGAACACGTTAAGCGTCATCATGTAAAAATAAATTATGTTTCTTTTGGTTACTTTGTAAAAAAAAAACCCCGAATCCGAATGAAGGACACGGTATCCAAACTGATACAGGTGTCCCATTAGGCCAGAATGTATCCATTTGGATGCAAATGGCGTTTAACTTGTTAAATACCGTTTGTCAATAATTATCGTCGTACAGAAATTCAGTCGATGATCCAGATATTGAAACGGGAAATTGAAACATCTCAAAATGCTAAATAGATGATGAAGGTGCTTCCATAATTGCTGGGCGTGCTTCGTATGAGTCGATCTGGTGACTTAGCTGTCGATAGTGATGGGCTCTAGAGCACTTCTTATGATACTCATTGGAAGAAAGTATTTGAAATGCTTATGTAAGATGCTAAATATTCATCAAGCTTTCAAGACCTATCGAAACTTTTGTGACTCACAAGACCTACTAAAACTTTTGGGACTTTTAAGGCCTACCAAAATTTTTGAGACTTTCAAGACACTATCAAAATTTTTGGGACTATAAAGGCTTTCGGGACTTACAAGACTTTTAGGACCTATCAAATCTTTAAAGACTCAAGACTAATCAAGACTTAAAATTCAAGACTTATCAAAACTATCATGTTATGGCCGACTGGTTCGAATTTCCACACTATTCACTGAACAATTTCGAATCGTTTCGAAATTGAAATCCAAACGCCTATATCACTAGCTGTCGAGTAATTAGCAATACTACTACACCCGTAATACTCAAGAATCGTAAAAACCTGATTTTTCATGAGCGAAGACCCATTGTCATTTACTGGAAGTCTAGAAGGATCTACGATCGGCCGAGTATTCTGTCCAGACCATCCTCCGTTTCCATCCCGTCTCAGCGTATCGAGTCGAGGAGAAAAGGAAGGGACAGTCTGCCGCGCGCACGATCTTGAAAATCCGAGCGCGAGTGTCAACGGCCTCGAGTTATCGTTTCCGAGAAGGAACCCGGTTTCGCCCGGCACAACCGCTCCGCTCTCTGGTTCGGATACACGAGAGGCACGGCTGTGGCCCGTACGCGCGCGCGCGCGCACGCGGCGAGGATAAGCTGCCGCAGCTCGGCAGCTTTCTTCGC